TGATATATCTTATATATCATAGAATATATAAAATATATATCCCCATATATATATTTATATGTATGGTATATATGTATATATGACCTATATATATGTCCTTATTAAGGATAAGGAGTTTATTAAGCATTAACTCACACAATTGTAAGGTCCCACAATAGGCTGTCTGCAAGCTGAGGAGCAAGGAGAGCCAGTACAAGCCTCAAAACTGAAGAACTTGGAGTCTGATGTTTGAGGGCAGGAAGCATTAAGCATGGGAGAAAGATGTAGGCTGGGAGCCTAGACCAATCTCTCTTTTCACATTTTTCCACCTGCTTATATTCTAGCTGTGCTGGAAACTCATTAGATTGTACCCACCCAGATTAAAGGTAGGTCTTCCTTTCTCAATCCACTGACTCAAATGTTAATCTCCTTTGGCAACACACTCACAGACACACCTAGAATCAATACTTTGTATCCTTCAATCCAATCAAGTTGACATTCGGTATTAACCATCACAAATTGGGAGAGAGTTACTGGATGAGTGGGTATCAATTGAAGATGTTTTATTATTATCTGACTTATAACATATTTTAAAACAAGATGTATTTATTATATAAGAGTTTTCGAATTGAAAATTTAATTATTTTTATCCCACCATCCTATGAGTGGGAGCTTTGGTGATAAGCCAATTTAGTTATAGGCCAATATTTTTAAGAGTGCATGTGTGGGTGTGTGTATATATGTGTGTGTGTGCATATGTATCTACATCTAATATCTATAGAATTAACCTGATCATTAGAATTATAGTGTGTATGAAAATTTTTGACGTTGTTACAACTTTCTTGACTGAAAAAAAAAACGCTGTACTTTGGAGAATTTTAAGCACTAGGAAGGCTAATGGTTGAGATAGAATTAAATCTTATAGCCATAAGGTATTTTTCTGAGATCCCACTATTTTTGTATCTTCCTAATTCTTTATCTCAAGGATGGCCTTGCAGAGACACTATTGTGTAGAGCAAAATAAAAGACAAACCATCCCTACGTTGACTGAGGTTGTTCTGCTCAATTCTTCTGCCCATAATAATAATAAAAAAGATTCCTTTCTCATATGGCTTAACAAGGACCTGAGTTCTAACTGGATTCATTGAACTCTCATTGCTGACTTCATGTTTTATCCTAAGATTTGTAAGCAAGTATCATTTTGTATAAGGTGATTAAAGTTATGTCTTTGTATAAGGTCATTACATCTTTATATACATTATATATAAATTTCAAGGTATTGTATCATACGATTTCATTTTGGCTTATATGGGGTCTGTGTCTGTTAATGTATAGGGGAGTGTTTCATGGGGAATAATGGAAGCCTAGGCTCAATAAGCCTCCATTCCTATACAAAACTTCCATGAGACACTCCCTGCTTTATTAGTTTGCGCGAAATAGGTTATTTTGTTTTGCATGCATTGTAGACTCAACATTTTTTGGATTATTGATTACATCACCATTCATACCATCTGTATGTGGTATGAGATACAACATACAAGACTTAAACTGACTGTTGAATAAAAGAGGTGGCCTTTCTTGTTGGTCAAGGGTTTGTCTATGTCAAAGCAGCAAAGTCATCCAAGAAGAAATTCCTGCTTCCTACATAGGGTTATACTATAATCCTAAACTTTGTCCTCTAGAAAAATTAAGAGAAAAAGTGCAAACTACTCAAAAGTCATCTTTAATTGGTATGCTGAGGTCTCAGAACATACAGTTCTGACTACAAAAGACTATCAAAGATTCCGTGAGTTCTGATAAATGTGACGTTTCCTTGCATCTGTCTCTCTTCCTACTCAGCTTTATCTACATCATCCATTTTTTTTCTTTTCCTATTTTTTCTGCTTCTCCAATTGATGTAAATGCACTATTTTTTGATATTTGATCAGGAAAACAATTATATTTTAAAATCGCTAGATCAAAAGGTTATCTACACAATTTGAATCAAAACCAACCGAGAGTCAAGTTTAGAACTATAACGCCAGGTTTTCCTATACTTCAGGATATTTGCTGCAGAATTTAAGACTTTGTTAGATCTTCATTGTCCTCAACCACAGATCTGTACCAGCTAGTTCAGTTAACTGTTTGCTTTTCAGATGCAACAAATAATGTAGGACGACAGCACGATATAAAAGAATACAGCATTGGCCAATACATTGGCATCTCAGTAACTGTTAAAACAGCTATATGATTCTGAATTTATTTCATTACAGTTCAAATGCCATCTCTTCTGAGATGTCTCTGTACACTGTTGAACCAGTAGCTCCCTTCTTTCTGTACTATCCTGAGTAGGCACAGAATGGTTAAACAGAAAATGCCATGAGCTACTGTTGCCAGAAAGGATGCTCAATATCACGCAGAGAACTGTAAGTCTGCCAACACTGTTTTCCAAGGCAGAATCTCTTGTTGCATTGCACCCTAATCCTGAAGGTGTTCTTTCTGCCAATACCACAGTAAAGTCAGTAGACACAGCCGGCCAGAGAAGGAACACAAATGTTGGACAATTTAAGAAAAGAAATCCGGAAAAATACCACTGCAGAGACAATTCTTCTAATGACATTTGGACTCATGTTTTCACATGGCTCTTGCAGAAAGAGTATGAGAAGTCTTTTTCTGAGTCCTTCTGAATATAATTGCGTCATTACACACAAATGTGTATTAATAAACTGGTAGTTGGTGATCGTAAAGTGTGGAATCAGACAGTCTCGAGTTACACGTGTGATTTTGCCTTTATAAATTTTAAGTTAAAATCCTCATAGTGATTGGAAAGAGATATCTGGCTTATTTGGACCATATATCACTTATAAGAAGAGTATGGCATCCAGTCAAAGACAAATTCTTCATTTTGTCTCTCTTGTTTCTTGCTGGGTGTGCTAAGCTGTGCATAAGCATATCACTTAATTATGGCACTTACTGCTGTGTTATAATTACATAATTGAGTTTCTATTACGTTATGTATTCCTAGAAATAGGAGCTATATTATGTACTTTTTTCTGCGTGTACAAGAAAGAACGCTAGCCTCAAATCATGCCAATGATAGAAGCCACAGCCTTGGCCATACTTGACAGTTGTAGGTATGGATATGAATGTTAGATCAGTGAGTCTTTTCACTAAGATTTTAGACTTCAGACAGATAAAATATTTTTTATTCTTTTTCTGTGGCTAAAACAGTGAAAGTTAAAGGCCAGAGGTAAATATTTGTCATGATGTCCACAAAGTTTATTGCATGTTGCGTGTGTATGTGTGTGTGTGTGTGTGTGTGTTGTTTTGGTTTTTTGCTTAAGCCTGTCTATACTGAACAAAGAAATTGAATTGAGGTATAAAAGAAACCAAAGGTAGTAACAGGAAGACAAAATCCTAATGGAGCTACTCTTTAGGATCCTATCTTTTCTACCTTTGGGTTTCAGGAGACTTCTAATATCTTTTTAAATTAATCTGAGATGTGTTTCTGTTACTTGTAGCCATACAATTCCTAAGTGACATGGGAGGTGGATGGGCATTCCCAAACAGGAAAGTGTTTCCAATTTACATTTACCAGGCTGTAAATATATCTTATTCACACCAGTGCATATAAAAAAATCTAACCAAAAAATAAATGTTAATCTCATGGAAATTGAGGAACAGGAAACCTAAACCTTATGACAACTATCGTCTGGCAGGCCTCTCTCGGGGGCGTAGAGTAGTTGCACATGGAATCTGTGTTTCCTTCTGTACATCTAATCCCTTTTCTTTTTTGACTAACTTGTTTTTGCTTACCGCTTATGGACCAGGCCCTGCTAAATCATTGGCTTGCATGTGGCATTATGAAGGCACCAAATTACCCCTTGAGCTCCTGGAATGAAAAGAACTACAATAACAATTATAGATAATACATAGAGCACTTATGATTTTCCTGGCTACCCATACAGTGTGAACACGGAAAGATGACTGAGGATCCACCCATCATGCAATCCATCAGAGTTACTCAATCAGATGCCAGTTGTGAAGGATTGGGGACCATGGGCAGTCCATTTTAGTGACTGTGCTGGAAGCAGTAGTCCCTAAGTCCCATTTCCAGCAATAGCAGCTTAGCAGTCCCAGTAACAGCGTCCAACCATTGATAACGTTGGTGGGACAGGCTGTGGTCTGTGCATCACAATGACAACAGCAGTGTCTTCGTGGCTCTACTCTATGGCCTCATTATTAATAGAAATTTCTCTAATCTGGAGCCTGCAAACTGGTCTACCAACCTCCCAAAGTAACTATAAGTTACATGATCTGGGTAAGAATTCTGTTAAATTATCCAGAAGTAGTTTCTCTTTATCTGCAACTCATAATGGTGATTATTAATAGTGCTTCTAGGCCAGGGGTTGGCAAACCTTTTCTGTAAATGGCCAGATAGAAAATATTTTAGGCTTTGCTAGCCACATCCAGGCATATTCTTTGTTATTGCCATTGTTTTGGGGGGTGTGTGTGTGTGTGTGTGTGTGTGTGTGTGTGTGTGTATATGTGCGCATGCGCACGCGCACATGCGTAGCTCATACCCTCTACAAATAATAGGCTGCAGTTTGCAAATCCCTGGTCTAAGCTTTTTGCACTACTTCTCCTTACCTCCGTCTCTTAGTTACCTAATTCCAGCATGCAGAGAAATCCTTTTGGTGCTATTAATCTTCCTGAGGAAACCTGTTCCTAAAGATAGCTTCACAATATGCTCTTGTAGCCAGTTGGCCTTCCCCTAAGGGAAGCTAGGGAGGAATGCTGAAGCCAAGAGTTACTACTGGCAACTACATGGAGAAAATGTCTGAGCTTTGCCAGCCTGACTGCCTCTAATCTCCCAGGCCAAGCCTGTCCCAGGAGCCACATGACCTAAGCAATCCCTATAGTTGCCAAGCGCATAACTGGACTATAAGGGCAAAAGTGAGGAACCAACAACATACAGATTGAATGTGCTTATCATATATTTTAAACAAATAAACCAACCTCAAATAATCTGTTTAGCCTTACTTTTATTTCACACCAGTGGATATGAAAGTCAGCCTAAATGGCTTCAGGAAGTGTGTGGAGCTCCTGCATAAATTTGATGCAAGCCAGGAGAATCTGTCAATGGCTTCTCAATACAAAATACAGATGCACAAGCAAAAACCAAATAAACAAGCAGCTGCATAAACAAAAAGAAACCCTTGAAGGCTTCTTATTGTTGAGGCCCAAGTCTAGTTTTCTTTCACGAATCACGCTCTCACCTCAACTCCTAGTTCATATTGTCTCGATCTCTTGTCATCACCCACCAGGCTGTTTCAGGTTTGGAGCACAGGACAGCTGTTGTCCCTTAGCAGAGCTGTGGATAGAGTGGGAAATGGGTATGCATGGCTAGTCATATTCATTGGAAGACAGCCACTAAGGAGAAGGATTCTAGCAGGGGAATCCCATGAAGGTCAATATGAAATTAACTCTTTCACTAAATTAAAACTTCAGATCCTTATTGATTTCATGGTGTTTCTTTAACTTTGCTTTTATGCACTGACTTCATTGTTACTTGAGTGCAGCAGAAAATAACTAGGCACGGCCCTTGGCCTGACTCTTGAATTGATAAGATTTCAGACCATGAACCCATCTCACTTAAAGAGATTTAATTAAGCCCATCTAGAGTATGGTGAAAAAGTGCAACTTGAAATAGTAAATACAGTAATTAGTTAGTTCACTGACATTAAATTATGTTTGATTTTGTATTGCAAACTATAGTCTCTCTTTTGTTTTTTAAATGAATAGAGAAGAATATGTTGTAGTTAGGCAACAGCCAAGAAAGAAACAAGGTTGATTATCCTGTATGAGAATCTGTAAATTGTCTCTCTGGTCTTTTGGTGCTAGAAAATACTTGAACTGGTTTTTTTGTTTGTTTGTTTGTTTGTTTGTTTGTTTGTTTCCAGCAGTTGGCCTGTCTAATGTGAACAACTTTATGCCATCTTTTGTCAGCATTAATGCTAAATTAGAGAATAATTTGCTTTCAGGTGTTAAAAAAAGTTTGACACAGTGGAGGTCTTTAATTACCAGCTCAATCATTCACATTTGATTGTTATATTTTTTCTCTGAATGAGACTTGATTTAACTAGTCTTAGTCATTTAACAGGAATGTTGGAATTTTACACATTTATGATTTAAATTTTCAATGATTTTACAACATTATGGGTACCATGAAAACCTGCAATAATGTCTACTCAGTTTTCAGGAGAATTTTCAGGGCTTGAAGAGTGATAGTAAGGTCATGAAAAATATCAATGATAAAATAATTGTATTTTTATATCAAAACTTTAACTCTGATACTCTCTTCTTTGAATACTCAGGGAGTTGTTGAAAAAAGAATGTTTTAAAACAGCAGGAATTTAGCCCAGAAGGTTAACTCTAAACATACCACCGATTTTTAACTTCAGGGGAAAAATATAAATTAGGTACACTAATGTCTGAGGTAATTGCAATGAAGTAGTTAAAAATCTGTTTGCCCGGGTTCAAATCTGGGCCTTGTCACTTAATAGGTGGGCATTTGGGTCAAACTACTAACAAGTTTGTGGATAAGTTTATGTGAGACTTATTTTGCTAGTTAATATGAGGAGAAAATATGCATTTGACAAGTGCTTCAGTGACTGCAAAATATTTGCTAGTACTGAGGAACAAAGTTTGGAATTATTAATAAATGACTTAGCGTTTCCTCTGCCTCTTACCACATGAGTTCATGTTAATCAGCTAGGATGCCATTAAAAATACCACGGACTGGGTGCCTTAAACAACAGCAATCTATTTTCTCATGATTTCAGATGGTGGAAGTCCAAGATCAAGGTGCCAGGAAATTTGGTGTTTCTTGAGGTCTCTTACCTTGGCTTGCAGATGACCATCTAATTGTGTCTCCATCTAGCCTCTTCCCTGAGTGTATGCATCCCTGGTGTCCGGGTGTCGCTCTTTCTATAAAGACACCAGTCAGTTGGATTAGGGCCCCATATTTTGACCACATTTAACCTCAGTTACCACCTTAACGTACCACCTTAAAGGCCTATCTCCCAGTACAGTCACATTGAGTCTTAGAGTTTTAATAAATGGATTTAAGAGGAACACAGTTCAATCCATAACAGTGACTTTGGCCAAGTTTCTTTAACTTCTCTATGCCATGGATACTTCATCTTCATAAAGAAATAAAGTTATTGATGGTATACAATGAAACAATAGGTTGATTCCCAGAGGGGTGTGACAGAGAGTGTGGTAGATTGCCCTGTTCGTAAGTGGCCCTTCAGCCTGGTCATAGGTTTAATTTGTTTACAGAGTTCTTGTGACTATGTAAATTTTTAAAAAATCTTCTGGATTGTATCACTAGTAAAAAATTGGTTAAAATAACATTTTATAAATTGTATTACATAATTATTAGGCATTAAAGGTTAGTGAATTTGTTAGTAATGCATTTTTTAGTGAGATGGATTATTTTTTTCACCAGGTAGTTCCTGGATCCCTGGACGAGGATTATTTGTTGCTCACACTAGAATATATAGGTTATTAATTATATTTCTATTTCACATCTTTGTATGTAAAAGCATCAAAAAGCTTATTCACATAAATGATGTTTAACTAAATTTGTTACAAATTATATGCAAAATATCACTATCAGGTGTCAAACTTTACATTTAGTAAACTATTAGCTTGAAACTCTATTCTATCCTCCTTGATTCTTATTGAAACACCAATTTACACAAAGACCAGGAAGTTGGTTGTTTACTTTCATTATTTCCATAAGGTGTACCACCAAAAAAAAATTACTAAGACCAAAGTCATGGTTATTAATGACACTCATTACTCTTTTATTTAGAAGCTTCATATTTAACTATGCACACTCAGAAATCTTTGGTATTTCCTAGTACTTCGATATCCACTTGTCAATGCAATAACATTGGTAATGTGTTTTCATCTTATTATGTGATTTAAATATATTTTAACTGAACTCTTTGACCATCAGATGCACACAAGATATTTGTGATGAAGAGGAGAATCTATTCATTCATTAGTGAGAATAACCAAAATACAGAGAGTAAATGATGAGAAACAGACTGGTATTTCAAAACAGACTTGCAATCACTTTTAAATATTTGGAATTTGTAAAATATGCAAAATTCAAATGCCTTCTCATGATTTGGTTTCCTGAATGAAATATAATACCACTGTCTTTAACATGTTTTCCAATGCTCCTTTTAGTTGGTTTTCACAAGTTCTTTCTATGGAACAAAATCATTCATTTTTTAATTTTTTGTTTAGGGGAAATTCTCACTCCAGTTGTCAAACATATGCTATATCTGAATTCATGGTATTATAACTTGTGAAAAAATTCAATTTCTAATGTCATTTTTCACCATTAACAGAAATACATATAAAACAGGAAAGACATGGGGTCTACTGTGGGTTCATGGCACCTTGATTAATGGAGAATTATATTTGAACTGTTTGGAGAACAGAGACTTGTATACTCCAAAGCAATGCACACTAGTAAGAATTAAGAATGCTCAGAGGTGTATTTTTGTAAGTGGGAAAGGGGGCTATTTTGAAACAGGAATGAGTGGAGGAGAATGAATACGATACCACAAAATGCAGATGTATTCTCACTTTTAGGTTAAGAAAAAAAAAAAAAGAAATTAAGGATTGGAAAGGAACATTCTCAAAATTATCTATGCCCACACACTACTTGGAAACTTTTATTGTATCCCTCAGGATAGGCATAGCACATTCTGCAGATCATAGCTTTAATATAACCATAAATGTGCTGTGGTGGAAAGCACATGATTTTTACAGTCAGCTTGACTTCCTTTTGAACTCTGGATGGGTAATTTAGTATTCTTGTTGACTCCTTAACATCTCCAGGTTTCAGTTATTTTATTTTTCATCTATAAAAAAGATATCAACACCTAGTGTGATATGAGACTTTGTGTAATAGTATGTGTGAACATATTATTCATAATATGTCCAACTCATCTTCCTAATCGCTAACTTTTTAATTAGTAACAACTGCAGCACTATTACCATTTAAGACCATCATTGTCTTTTTTTCTCAAAGAAAATAGAAGGTAAACATAGCAAAGAAATGTACACTAACATAATCAAATAGGAGAAGGTTGAGGCCTTGTCATTAAAAGCTGCAGTGATTAAATGAATAATAGCATAACGTCTGGTAGGTAATTCAAGAGGTTGATCTCATTTCCCATCCCTCCTACAAAGTAATAACTTACTTTCCCTAGAAGTCACTCTAGCACTTGGTAAAATAAAGAAGATAACAAATACTTCAATTAATCAGTCATCACTTTTATATAAAAATATTTATTAAATTCCATAATTTGCAAAGCAATGCAATCTATCTGTGGTTTATGGTCTAAATTATTAAAATCATTTTATGTTGTGGTTTTTGTACAGACATACAGAATGGAATTTTTTTTTTTTTTTTTTATACTTTCAAGTTCTGGGGTATGTTTGCAGACTGTGCTGGTTTGTTACATAGGTATACACGTGCAATGGTGGTTTGCTGCAACCACCAACCCATCATCTACATTAGGTATTTGTCCTAATGTTATCTCTTCCCTAGTCCCCCACCCCTTGTCACACCCTGGTGTGTGATGTTCCCCTCCCTGTGTCCATGTGTTCTCATTGTTCAACTCACACTTATGAGTGAGAACATGTGGTGTTTGGTTTTCTGTTGCTGTGTTAGTTTGCTGAGAATGATGGTTTCCGGCTTCATCCATGTCCCTGCAAAAGACATGAACTCATCCCTTTTTATGGCTGCATAGTATTCTGTGGTGTATATGTGCCACATTTTCTTTATCCAGTCTATCATTGCTGGGCGTTTGGGTTGGTTCCAAGTCTTTGTCATTGTGAATAATGCTGCAATAAACATACTTGTGCATGTGTCTTTACAGTAGAATAATTTATAATCCTTTGGGCTGTTTGGATTGCTGGGTCAAATGGTATTTCTGGTTCTACATCCTTGAGGAATCAGAATTTTTGCACGCATAAATATATGTATAAGTTTCTATGGAAAAAAAATGTTGTGGTCATACCTAGAATGCTCTTGTCAGCCTGATCGTTACATTCTCTCTTCAGATGTCATTTTGTGTAGGATGCAAATTGGGATGATTTTCATAGTGAACTTTTATAGTTTCTTGCCCAGCATGGAGTAAGACAAAGAGGAAGAAGCAGCATTCCATGAATGCATTGCTTGATGGCATCAAGTGAAGATATCTTGACGCATCGTTCTTGCATTTGTGGCCTTTCCTATGGGACCACAAATGCTCAAGCATTTTTGGCTAAAATGTCCTTATTGCTCCCTATATTTGATGTAAAATTGTAGGTAGACTTTATTACCGACAGGCAGCATTTGGGTGAAAATCAACATCATTTGCTTTTGTAATCTATATTATTTTCCCTGCCTGTTTTTATTTTTTGAGGGGGAGACCAATTATCATACATATAAATGTGTCCTTTTTATTTAATCATATTTTCTAGAAAGGTTATTCAAATCCTGGTGACTTAGGAGCCATTTGTCTTCCACTGATGAAAATAGGGAAATATCTGTCTTTCGATATCTTTTATTTTTTTTTCTTTATCTCTCCTATCCTCCTTGATTCTAATTAAAATTAGAGTCTTGCTCTGTCACCCAGGCTAGAGTGCAGTGGTGCGGTCTCATCTCACTGCAACCTCCGCCTCCCAGGCTCAAGTGATTCTCTTGCCTCAGCCACCTGAGTAGCTGGAATTATAGGTGGGTGCCACCATATCTTGCTAAGTTTTGTATTTTTACTAGAGATGGGGTTTCACCATGTTGGTCAGACTGGTCTTGAACTCCTGGCTCAAGTGATCCTCCCACTTCAGACTTTGTAAGTGCTGGGATTACAAGCCAGAGCCACCACTCCCAGCCAGTCTTTTTACATGTCTTTGATTTTTTTCATAATTTAACTCTCATTGTGTAAAACAACTCATCTTCCTAATCTCTAACTTTTTAATTAGTAACAACTGCAGCACTAATACCATTTAAGACTATCACTGTCTTTTTTTTCTCAAAGAAAAGAGAAGGTAAAGATAGCAAAGAAATGTATACTAACATAATCAAATGGGAGGAGGTTGAGGCCTTGTCATTAAAAGCTACAGTGATTAAATTGTCTTAGATTCAAGTATGCAACATTTCTGTTTGAGAATGTCATTGTACAAAAATAATTTATCTGGTTCTGCACAAAAGTGTCATTTGATTTCTTGTTGATTAATGGTCAACTTAAAATAATCACCTGCTCTCGTCTCAACATATTTTGTGTAAGACTAAACCTAGGGTCTATGTTCATCTAAAATGTACTTGGCAAAAACAGGAGAAAGAAATCAATGAGGAAAACAAGAAAGAAGTATATTAAAGAAAATAAATGGAAAGAAAGGAAAACAAGAAAAGGAAGAAAAAGAAGTCAAATAATCTTTCAAAAAATAACTTACTCTCCAAAAAAGTTAATATTAAAACCTGAGTGTGCCTTTTAGTTATTAAAGACAAGATGTCTATTTTTATATAGTCTTTCTTCTGAATGTATCTGAAGAGCAAAGCAAAATGAGTTGGACATTTTCAAAATTCAAAAATACCTGCATGACCACTAACTTTCTGTAAAGGAGTCTAAATGTTTATTAATACATTCAATTATTTGTTAATTCTACTCAATTCATGCAGCCTGGAGTTTCAGCTTGTAATATGCAATATAGCAATATAGTTAGAGTATTTACTCTGGTCTCATTTTGTGAAACTGCTTCTCCAGTGATCTATTTATTCTGAGCACCAAGATCCTGACTCAATTGTCAATTTTGTCCATCTGGTTTTGTGGAAGCACTGACAACTGGAAATATAGAGAAAACCACTGAAATTACAAAATATATACAATGAAACAAGCCAGATGCAAGTTGTTAAGCTG